AGTGTGGCTCGGGTATGTCTAATTTGGGGGTGCTCTCGTCTCTGTATACTCTGTCCAGTATCATTTCTATGGTTGTGTCGACTGGGACGTTGGTAAATAGGGATTCGACGTCCAGGGAAGCAATGATTCCATCGGGCTGAGTAGTTTTGATGAATTTTAGGAAATCTGCTGATTATTGTAGACTATAGTTGCTTGCGGTGTATGGAGTTAGGAGTTAGTTAAGTCTTTTTGCCAGGTGATAGGTTGGAGTTGGTATTTGGCTGATTATTGGGCTTGGTGGGTTACCTGGTTTGTGTGTCTTAACATTGCCATAAGCATATCCTAAGCCATAGTCGCCTTGGAGTTTAGTGAAATGAACACTTCCTTTCATTGCGTTGATTGCAGTAATAGTTTTGTTCACTTTGCGTTTAAGGTCTTCCACAGTGTTCCTCGTGATTCGTTGAAATTTAGTGTCATCACTAGGGATGTCGCTAATATATATATATATATATATATATATATATATATATATATATATATATATATATATATATATATATATATATATATATATATATATATATATATATATATATACATACAGATATGTACTTTTGTATGTAACATTAATAATTGCGTAACTAGCTTCACAAAATTGTCACTTGCTTAGCTAAACGAACTATGGGTTCAGTTCATGAAGCCATATGTGCCTCTGTAACCCTTTCCATCACTGCACCCAGGATGGGTATGGGGTGCATAATATTGGAAGAAATGGAAAATTGTTGTAGTCTAATATTGTAACTATATAGCATGGAAGGGATATAGGGGAAAAGGAGATGGGATAGGAGGAAGGGGTGAAAGGACGGTGCCCACCAACTTGGACCATCGGGGTGTTGAACACCGTTGTTCTACGTACATTACACAGGAGTACGTTCTGGAGCCCTTCATACACTACCCTTTATACCAATGATAAGTTTGCTCTCTACAGTAAATACCACTTGCCTCATACTCCTCATATTCAGTACAGTTTTGTATAAACCTTTTTTTTTAATTATCATTCATTATTCTACAAACATTACATATTTTCAATATTCAATATAAACTTGAATATACAAGAGAACTTAAACGAGCTGTGAATTAGTTAAAAATAATTTCGTAATGACAATGCGTCACCAGAGAGAATACTCACGTGAGTCCCTCAGGTACACCACAAGATGTCCGAACTCTGATAAGTTGTCAAACTTGACCAAGTCCCCATAGATGACCCGGCAGAACTGTCTCGCTTCTGACCACGACACCTGTGATGGAGAGGACACACCTGAAACACACACCTGTGATGGAGAGGACACACCTGAAACAGACACCTGTGATGGAGAGGACACACCTGAAACAGACACCTGTGATGGAGAGGACACACCTGAAACAGACACCTGTGATGGAGAGGACACACCTGAAACAGACACCTGTGATGGAGAGGACACACCTGAAACAGACACCTGTGATGGAGAGGACACACCTGAAACAGACAACTGTGATGGAGAAGACACACCTGAAACAGACACCTGTGATGGAGAGGACACACCTGAAACAGACACCTGTGATGGAGAGGACACACCTGAAACAGACACCTGTGATGGAGAGGACACACCTGAAACAGACACCTGTGATGGAGAGGACACACCTGAAACAGACACCTGTGATGGAGAGGACACACCTGAAACAGACACCTGTGATGGAGAGAACACACCTGAAACAGACACCTGTGATGGAGAGGACACACCTGAAACAGACAACTGTGATGGAGAAGACACACCTGAAACAGACACCTGTGATGGAGAGGACACACCTGAAACAGACACCTG